GCATGGAGAGCAACTGTGGACACCAGATACAGTGTTAAGGGGGATGGGAAATGGCCAAGGATGAGAGGATAGGAACTAAGGGGAAAAAAGAAAGAAGTAAAACAGTTAAGAAACACAAAATGGAAAACTATCTGTTGAAGATAATAGGTATGGTAATATCTTTGACTGGCCAATATTCACTGAATTCTGGGTAGGAAAAAACATTTTATATATAATGATATATAGTGAATGAATATAAAATTTTTAAAAAATTGTGATGGAGGAAAAGATAGACTAAGGAATAGGTGATCAACATCAGAAGAGAGGAAGCCCACCTCTCATGGGCATGACTTCCCAATCTCTCTTCCCTAAAGTGACTGGAGAGCCAGGCTAACAAAGCAGAGGCGAGCTCCTAAGTCTGTAGTACAGAGGGATCAGGGTGAGGCACCTCCTCCTGAACAGCTGTGGACCTGTTTCTGTCCTGTAGCCTGGTGATATCCATGGCTGTGGGGTCTCCTAGGGCAAGTAACACACCTTCCCATGAGCACCAGCTGCATATTCCAGTGCCCTCTGTCATGGTGACACTGAGTCGCCATGGGGCCAGGATGCCCTTCACTGAACTGTCGGATCAGGCATAAACAGGAGGAAGGCTTTGCTGGGGGTGGGAATGGCATTCAGCATCCGATTTCTCCTGTCAGCTGATTAGGATTTGTTGTGCCTGAACAAGGTCAAATGAGATTAGAAAGAAAATGCAGTGCATCTGGTGTGTGTTTCATATCACTGTGTCATTTATACAAACAGGATGAATGAAGGGAAACTTCAGAGCAAATATTGAATGTCATTCTCAAGATTCAAGGACAAGAGGCCAGGGCTTCTATGATGCCTGGGGAGACTGAAAATATATTCAATGGAGCATTTTGAGTCCTGCTGATTCTGTCATGCTCTGTGGCTCCCTTCATGCCAGGACAGTTATAAAAGATAGTTTCATGCCTGATTTTCAGAGGCACTGAGCACAGAATAAGTAACACTGTGGAAATGCCACATCCTACCTCATCGCCCTTTTAAAGCTCTTAGAAGTTTGGAGGCACTTTCTTTAACAGCAGCTGCCTAAGTACTCCATTAGGAGTCCATCTCTATGAAAGAAAACTCTCTAGCACCAGCCACAACATTTTAGATGTGAAACCCTCTGGGCAGGTCAATATCTCTGTGGATAAACCTACAAGAACTTTCCTTGGTCCTCCAAATCTGTCTTCCTTTCTCAGCCCACTCCTCTGCAGTACTAGAATGGCTATCATATAAAGTTTCATCAAAGCAGAAATGGCATTTAAAGAGCTTTGAGGGAAGACAAGATTGCTGTATAGATCTAGCATATTGTGAATACTGAATAAGCAGGCTTGACCACCACTGACTCTTCCCTGGCCCAGAGCTGGAGGGCTATTCTGAGACCAGACTTTTCGACTAGGTAATTGTGAAGTCCCTTCCTACTCTAGAAAGGGTAAGGCCATAAAACATTCACATGATCATATTGCAGGACTCAAAACATCTCAATATAAATTATTTAACTTTCTTCCTCTTTAAAAAATTGCCGGGGAGGGGCAGCAGGTGGCACAGTGGTTAAGGTGCTGGACTCCCACAAGGTCGACCGTGGTTTAAGTCTCACACCTGGAGGCTTGAGACTCACACTGGTTGCATGTGCTCCCAAAATCCTGAGAGAAGAATGGAGGAGAAGGGATTGTGGCATGGCCATCCCTCGAAGGGGTTGATTTCTTGCTTTCTGTCTTTTGCTGTCTCTCCGGTGAGTGCACACACCCTATAGCAAAAATCTCTCTCTAAAAAAAAAAAAAGAAAGAAAAAAAGCCAGAGGGAGACCAGAAGGTGGTGTCATGGTTATGGCGCTGAACTCCAACATGGCTGACCAAAGTTTGACTTCCAGACCTAGTGGTTTGAAAAATCACACCAGGCACATGTGCATACATGCCCAGAATCCCAGGAGAATGGAGTAGAAGGGATTGCAGCATGGCCATCCTCACTGGGGAGTGATTTCTTATTTTTCCTTTTACTGTCTGTCTCTGTTTCTCTCTGGCGAGCATATGCACCCTATGGCAAAAATCTTTATTTATAAATAAATAAACAAATAAATAAATTGTCATAGGGTGTATGCGCATGCCAGAGAGAGAGAAAGAGCAACCCCAGCAGTGTGTGGTTGTGCCACAACCCTGTCTTCTCCATTTCTCCATCCGACTGGGATCTGGGATGCACACTCATGTGCCCTGCAAACTTTTCTATACCCCACTGGGGCCGAGATTTGAACCGCAATTGGTTATGTGGGATCTGGCTCCTTCAACCACTAGGCTACAGGGGCAGCTTTCAGTGTAAATTGTTTGAAAGTAAAATCTAGAGGGCCAGGCAAGTGGCATGGTGGGTGAGGTGACTGGATCCTACGTGGCCAGCTGCACAGTTCAAGTCCTGGACCCGGCAGCTTGATCAGGATATGCCTGGCATGTGTACGCTTGCCCAGAGTTCCGAGAGGAGAATGGAGGAAAGGGTATTGCAGCATGGTCATGGAGTGCTTTCTCTCTCTTTTTCTCTCCCCACCCCTGTCAATGAGTGCACATGCCCTACAGCAAAATTTTTAAAAGAAAAAGATAAATCTAGATACTTGATGTGGAAGTTGAAACAAATGTAGACATGGAGGGATAAATGACACACTCTGCGATGCTGGACCCATGTCAGAGGGTCCCAGGTTCACATCACCTGGTCTCCTTACACACGCGGATGTGTGTGCATGTGTCCATGATCCTGGCTGGCTCAGAGTAGAAGCTGACTGCAGGTGAGGACGCCCTTAGGGATGCCTACCTCCTTCTCTCTGTCTCTCATGGAAAATTCAATAAACTTTAAAAATGAAATTTAAGACATTTTCAACATGGGGGAGGGATTAGATTACAGTAAATATCTTGAGGAATTGAGGATTCAGACTTTCCCAGAATATGGATAGTAACATTGACACCCAATATGTCATAGAGAAGTTAGCATATTTCATTATCTAAGGGTTATATCTGCCTAAGGACTGTATGTGTATGTAAAACAGTGTTTCACAACTGGATATAACAGAGAAGTAAAATAATGACTTCCACTTTTTTGGGTTGTCGGAAAAGTCAGGATACGTTTTTCATAGAAAAAAATATGCCATGACTTTCCCGATAAGCTCTATACATCCTCAGTGTTCACAGTGCTCGCACACTTAGACATATTTGTCATGATAATCCTGTGATGATGTTAATAGAAAAGTGTTCTTAATTACTTTAGGAGGAGGGAATCCGAAGCCCCTTACCTAACAACAAATTGTGGGCAGGTTTAAGGATATCAACTCGAAGTAGGCAGAATTAGCTTTAGTCACAGGGAGGATAAAGCATTCAACCCAAGTGAGACTCTGAGTCTGCATCTCTGTTTTCAAGATTTTTAGAATATTTTCTAACTTTCTAATCTGGCATCCTATGTAGTTAAAAAGAGTTCATCTGCATGCTACATATAGCATAATAATTCTCTAGTCTTTAGAAGGCAGTTGTCTAAAATATTTGTGTCTCGTCATGATTCAGAAGGCCCTCTGGAGTTTTGCAGATAGGAAAATTAGTATGTTTCAGAGTAAATTATCAGTCTCCTTAGAAAGCCTAGAAGTGGTAGTCCATGAGGGTTCCGGCTAACAGAGCTGGAGAAATCACCTTTTCCTGTACCTTCAGGTCCTTTCTGGGAGAGCTGCTGCTCATTTGTTATCAGTGATGTTTGAACCTTCAGGTCCCTGTCGCTGGAGATGAGCCTTTCCAAGGCCTTTCCCCTCAGGAGGCACATGAATAACTCCCTTGGGTACCCTATGAGGAGGGCAGAGAACCAGCTTCCAATCCCATCTCCCTATCCTGAGCACTACCCAGAGGAAAGACAGGAGAACATACATACCTCCGACTTGACAGGCCAATCTGCCCTATTCTCTCTGAATCATCAGGTGGGCAGGCTGCGTATGTGTGCATGCAAACACATACACACACTCACTCATGCCTCCCAGGCTCAAGTGTGTGCATAAGTTATAGGAAATTATTAATCATGTTTCCAGTTGGTCTCTTCGAGGACCCCTCTTGATCAATATCTTTTCAGTCCTTCTTAATTCCCCATCTTCTAGCCAAAGTTACTTGTAATGACAGCTTCCTCACCCCATCCTAGCCAGAGGTAGAAAAACAATGTCCATGGACAACTGAAGAAATCCCACACCCCTGGAGCCGGGCTCACCTGAAAATTCACCTCGTCCAACAGGGAAGGCTTGAGCAGTGTGAGGAATGACAGAAATATGCTTTCTGCAGCTCCTCCCCAGTCTACCTTGGATGGCCACTGCTTTGACTGGCTTTGCAAATGCCCTTCACAGGGCTTGGCTCTCAGAATGACACAGACAGACAGACACACTCTGCCACACACAGACACCTACACCCTGTGCAGGGATGCCAGATGACAGGAAAGAAAAGGACTCCCTTTCATCCAGCAGCCTTCTGATTCCAGAGGAGCATCTATGAGCCACAACCTGCTGTTTCCCTGGAGACGCAGGCCACAAAATAAACAGGATTCTGCTCAGACGGGCCAGTAGTCCATTCAACTGAGGCATTCGCCCCAAGACAAACCATGTTAAAATAACACCCAGGGTAGATGCTGCCACTGTCTGCTGTCTCTGCCTCCTTCCCTGCTGGCCAGTGGCTCTGCATTTCCAGGCCTGCTGTTGGCTGCCCAGAGTTGGGGGCACCTAAAGCTCAGTGTACGACCCTGTGGATGGGGTGGGTGTGAGTAGCTGCCTGAAGGCCGATCCCCTCTGTTGATAAACAAGGCCAGGAGAGACCTGGAGGCTGACATTCCCAGCTCCCTCAGCCTGCCCCCCTGCCTCCCACTCGGCCCTCAGGGACTGGTAGCCGGCTCTGTGGCATGGTGTCTGGAGGCGGGCCAGCAACCTGATGTGCATGTCACGGCCCGTCCCTCTCCCAACACAGAGCTGCAGGAACCCAGAGGTTCAGAGAGCCGGCTTGGGCTGCCGGGGAAGCAGCCGCAGTACAGTGACAGTGACAAACAGAGCAGACGCCGCCAAGTGGATTCTACTCCCCTGGGACAGCACCACGCGAGTGTGAAGAGAGGTCCAACCCTCAGCCTGCAAGTTATCCAGGTAAGAATGGGGGTATCTGTGCTGGGAACAGGCAGCAGGTTACGCCCGGATCTGAGTGAGCATGTGTGTCTAGGTGCAGGCATAAAGCTCCTTGGAGAGAAAAAGGAAGGGAGGCAGTGAAGGCAGAGAAATATTTTCAGCATCGAGCCCTGGAACCAGCACACCTGCAAGTGAAGAAGCCCACCCCTGGCTGGGTTTAAGCCGCGGTGCAGGCTGCTCTGGGGGAAAGGCTGGCTGAAGGCACAGACATGTAAAAATAGCGCTTACTGATCAGAGACTGCGAAAAGGATAAAGCATCGTGCTGCCCATTATCTTCATTCCCCTAGTGCCACCGACAGGGCGGGGGTGGGGCTGAACTCATTCCCTAAAGCGCTGCCTGCGGCCCTTGCGGTTGTGCAGAAGCCCAGCTGCAGCCATGGTGAGTCTGGCTTGCATTATCTTGCTGTGTCACACTCACCCTCTTGGGTAGCCTGGGAATCCGGCTGCCTCAGAAAAGTGGCCCACAGGGTGGCAGCGTAGAACATAAACTGAAGCTGACGTGCAGGATTACCTAAGGGTGTCCGCTCAAGGTTTCCACGGGATGGCGTTCTGATGGCAGCCCTGATCACCTGGAGTACTTCTTACCTCACCCCCCCCCTCTCAGTACCCCTCTGACAGGCACCGGCAGAGAAGGAGCCGGAAGGGCTAACCACTGGGCACATTCCCTGGCACCTACGCTGTCCACACCCACGTCGCTGTTAGGTGCCAGAACTATGCCAGGCTCCTAGAGAGGAGCACTTGAGAAATCCAGACCTCCAGTGGCTGGGGGGGAATTTCGGGCATTTAATCTACTCCCTATTTTCCAGAGACCTTATCTTCCACTCTCAGGCCCGAGAGTTCAGCAGAATTCAAACATTCCATGCTTTGTCCAGCAGTTTTACATCCACCTCCAGTGTTCCTCCTTCCTTTGCTTGGGTGACCAGCACTTTCCCTTTCCTTCTCTACGGGATGCGATTGTGTGTGACGCAGCTCCCCTGGCTGAGTGGGAAGACACAGCCAGAGGGCAAGCAGGGCTGCCCCCTGATGGCTTTACCCAAGGATGAGCTGCCCGACAGTGAGCAGGGGTGGAAAAGAAATGGGCTTTGCTTTGGGAAGTGGTGTCTAGCGAAGGGCTGGCCAGCTGTTGACCAGGGCTGTTTGTGTGTGGAGACTCTGATTCACAGTTCCAAATTCCCTTTGGCTTTGTTTTCTTTGGGTTGATCCTTGAGGGCATCCCAGGAAAGTCCCCTCTCCTGAGATGGTCTCCCTGAAAGCAAGATCACTAATTTGTTGCTGAGGGCAGCTGGCAAGCGCAGGAAGACTTCCTTCTGCTGCTCCTCCATTTTTAACATGAATAAATAGATTTGCAAGTGAAGTACTTAATCAAAGCTACGCTAGCATACAAAGTTGAGAGCGAAGACAGGGGCTGGCAGGTGGCATAATGGTTAAGGCACTGAACTCTGACCAAGGTTCGAGTCCCGGACCCAGCGGCTTTAAACTCACACGGGATGCATGCGTATGGGCATTCAAAATCTCCAGAGGCTAATGAAGGAGAGAGGATTGTGGTGTGGCCATCCCCCTGGGGGGTGATTTCTTCCTTTTTGTCTCTTTGTCTCTCTGTGTCTCTTTGGCAAGCACACATGCCCTTATAGTGAAAATACAAAATCTCTATTTAAAAAAATAAAACGATAGAGAGAGACAGACAGTGAGTTTTTTGAAATCTCTCTCAGACCTGGCATTTCTATATGGCTTGGCTGGTTCCAAAAACAATTTAAGAAAACGGTATCTGGTTAAGCAGCTTGACTTTGTAACGTGACACTTGCCTGTAGGTGAGTCCCATCAGCCATTGTTAACACAGACTCCAGGTTGCATGGTGATGTTATTTCAGTAGAGATGGTGGACAGACACCCATATCCTCCATCTACACTGAGCAAAGGGATGTCTGATCCCAGGGGAGAGATCATGGCCAATCATTTTGCTGACATGCCGTCTGTGGACCCTGAATAAGCCATGAAAGATCATGGAGCTGCCGGCCCTGCTGCAGGAGCTGCCAGGAGCCAGGATGTGCAGAGCTGGAAGGCACACCCACTTCCACCTCATTAAATAGGCATTGCTTGGCTAATGCAGTGCCCCTGATTTAGGCTGCTGGGAAAATCATCTGAGGTCATTTGTGCCACAGACATACCCTGCTTTATGTAACCCTAACATCTACACGTGACACACAAAGTATGGGAGAATGAGTAGTTTTCCTTAAGAAAGGATTCACTAATCAACAAGTGCTTCTTGAGTACTGACTAGGTGTCCTGTCTCAAGATGTGACTGGATCCTGCCCAATCAAACACAGAGAAGGCAGGGGACCTACTGGGTGGGAAAGAAACAGACAATGGGCCTACATTGACAGGATGTCTAAGTCAGCTGAAATGTAAGTGAACAAGTTCAACATATGGGAAAAAGAACAAGCATCTGGGCCAGTGGCCTCCAGGGAAAGAAAGAAGGAGGGAGGGGATAGTAATTATTCTATTGATAATTCCCAAATCACACCCTTAAGAGGGCAGCAAGGCCCAGCTATGGTAGGATGCACTGCTAAGATGCTGTGTTCCAGGCTGGGACCACACAGGAGGCTTTGGTTCAATTCCTGGTCCAACATAAAAGCCTGGTATGGTGGCCTGCACCTGTAATCCCAGCGACCTGGAAGGCTGAGGCAGGAAGATTGTGAGCTTGAGGCTGGCCTGGGCAACACAGAAAATGGGCCAAGTGAAAAGGCATGCACCTGTAGTCCCAGTTAGGAAATTGGGAGTCAGCAAAACATACTGGCTGGGCCTGGGGTTGGCAGTACAAGCAGGAGGGTGCCACTGCTCAATGGTGGGAGCCACACGGGAGGCCCAAGTTTGATTTGGGGTCAACCTAAACAGCCCGGGTGTGGCTGCATTTGCCTATAATCCTAGAAGCTGAGTGCTGTGGCTTCTCATTATAATTCAGGCTGACTGGGAGTCTGGGGGAAGAGAATCATGACATGGCTATGCATCACTGTCAAAAATAACTCTGGGACCAGCATTTAGCGTAATGGCTATGTTGCTGAACTCCCACGCAGTCAACCACGGTTCGCGTCCTGGACCCGCTGGCTTAAAGCTCACACCGGGCGCATGTGCATGCGTGCCCAAGATCCCGAGAGGAGAATGGAGGAGAAGGAATTGCAGCATGGCCATCCCCCCTGGGGGGTGATTTCTCGCTTTCTGCCTCTGTCTCTCTCTGTCTGTCTGGTGAGCGCACGCACCCTATAGTGAAAACCTCTCAAACAAAACAAAACAAAAACAAAAAAAGCAAAAGCAAAAGCAAAACTCTCAATTCTCTCTCCTTCTTCTCCCTCCTGTGTTCTCTCTCTCTCATAAAAACAAAAACACAGAACTTCGTGGCTAAGTGCATAGATTCTGCAGCTGGGCTGCTTGGGGGTTGAATTCTGGCTCTGCCACTGAGTCCTGTACCTTGTGCTTGATTTCCTCACCTGTAAAGTGGGATAATGAAGTACCCATCTTGTCCTTGGAAAGACCAACTGAGGAACACCCTTAGTAGAGTGCCTGGCATATGGTGAGTGCTGCGGGAATATTTGCCATTATTATTGTCGAGTTGTGAAAAGGCTGCCCACAAGTTCGTTTATTCCAAAGTCCAAAGTGACACTCCATGAGTGGCCATTCGTGCCACCTTTTGGGCAGCATGGGGTCACCTTTGCTTTGGCGTGGAGCTTTGCAATCAGACAAAGAAGAGGTTATGCACTGGTTGGCAGCATTTCTGGAGCCCTTGCTGTGCAGGCACTGGCTTGACTTTAAGTGGATCGTTCTGCTTCCACCCTGTGAGGTAGGGTCTGTTACAGATAAAGGAATCGGGGCTCAATGAGGTAAAGCCAAGGAATGCCAGGGTGAGAACAGAGGTAAGGAGTGTGCCTACTTTGTGCCAGGGCTGTGTCAATGTGTGGGTTTCTGATGGACAAGACCTATCTCTGTGCCTCCAGGACCAGTGGTCTGGTCCAGGAGTTTCAACCTTTAATGTACATAAGAATCACAGGGAAGTCTGTTGAAAAAGTCAAGTTTCTGAGTCCTAACCACAGAAACTATGATTCAGGGAGATCATGAGGGACCTACGATTCTGCATTTCTTGGGTGGGGCTCAGACACTTCTGATGCTTTGGGTCCATAGACCACAACGGATACAGCTCTGGTCTGGCCATTGCTGTTTCCCTTTTCTCTATTATGATTCAGGGGGACACAGAGCTGCATGATCTAAATCAGTGGCAATTGGCCTCTTTGTCATCACCTGCTTCCTGAATTACCATTTTACTTCATTAGAGTACTTCCTATCATCCTCACCATAACGACATACTTGCTGCCTATTGGGTTGTCATGTGCTGGGCATGGTGCAATGCCTTCCACTTACGCTATCCTCTCGCTAAGTCTTCCTAACAATCCCGTAAGTTCAAAATGATTATCATTCACATTTTCCAAGTGAAGAGAAAGACCCCACTGCTAGTGAGTGACTGACCTAGGTTATAAACTCAGGACTAGCAGATCACCACCCCGGACACATATCCGTAGGCAGTTCTGTGACAGTAGTTTCAGCTTCTGCCAGTTTGAACCTCTTGCCTCACTCTTGGGTGGGGTAACCCAGGTTTTTCCTGTTCATATTTCTATGTGGTCCACCCCCATTCCCAGACTCCCGTGTAAGTTCTTCAGAAGGTAGTGTCCCTTTGCTTCCTTATTTTTATCTCATTCAATGAGTCAAATAGGGTTCGGGCAATGGGAATGTGGAGTAGGTGTTATGAGTTGAGTTGTGTCTACACCCAAATTCATATGTTGAAATTCACCCCTAACTTCCAGTACATAACAGTGTGACCTTATATAGAAATTGGGTCTTTATAGGGATAATCAAGTTAAAATGAGGTCACTGAGGTGGGACTTTAATACAATATGACTGGTGTCCTTATAAAAAGGG